CTGGGATCAGCAATGCACTGTTCAACACCCCAGACGACCATGCCCAGGTGGCTGTGTGGGGTGTTATGTGAGTACACTGGGATCAGCAATGCACTGTTCAACACCCCAGACGACCATGCCCAGGTGGCTGTGTGGGGTGTTATGTGAGTACACTGGGATCAGCAATGCACTGTTCAACACCCCCAGACGACCATGCCCAGGTGGCTGGGTGGGGTGGTATGTGAGTACACTGGGATCAGGAATGCACTGTTCAACACCCCAGACGACCATACCCAGGTGGCTGTGTGGGGTGTTATGTGAGTACGCTGGGATCAGCAATGCACTGTTCAACACCCCAGACGACCATGCCCAGGTGGCTGTGTGGGGTGTTATGTGAGTACACTGGGATCAGCAATGCACTGTTCAACACCCCCAGACGACCATGCCCAGGTGGCTGGGTGGGGTGGTATGTGAGTACACTGGGATCAGGAATGCACTGTTCAACACCCCAGACGACCATACCCAGGTGGCTGTGTGGGGTGTTATGTGAGTACGCTGGGATCAGCAATGCACTGTTCAACACCCCAGACGACCATGCCCAGGTGGCTGTGTGGGGTGTTATGTGAGTACACTGGGATCAGCAATGCACTGTTCAACACCCCCAGACGACCATGCCCAGGTGGCTGGGTGGGGTGGTATGTGAGTACACTGGGATCAGCAATGCACTGTTCAACACCCCAGACGACCATGCCCAGGTGGCTGTGTGGGGTGTTATGTGAGTATGCTGGGATCAGCAATGCACTGTTCAACACCCCAGACGACCATGCCCAGGTGGCTGTGTGGGGTGTTATGTGAGTACACTGGGATCAGCAATGCACTGTTCAACACCCCCAGACGACCATGCCCAGGTGGCTGGGTGGGGTGGTATGTGAGTACACTGGGATCAGGAATGCACTGTTCAACACCCCAGACGACCATACCTAGGTGGCTGTGTGGGGTGTTATGTGAGTACGCTGGGATCAGCAATGCACTGTTCAACACCCCAGACGACCATGCCCAGGTGGCTGTGTGGGGTGTTATGTGAGTACACTGGGATCAGCAATGCACTGTTCAACACCCCCAGACGACCATGCCCAGGTGGCTGGGTGGGGTGGTATGTGAGTACACTGGGATCAGGAATGCACTGTTCAACACCCCAGACGACCATACCCAGGTGGCTGTGTGGGGTGTTATGTGAGTACGCTGGGATCAGCAATGCACTGTTCAACACCCCAGACGACCATGCCCAGGTGGCTGTGTGGGGTGTTATGTGAGTACACTGGGATCAGCAATGCACTGTTCAACACCCCAGACGACCATGCCCAGGTGGCTGGGTGGGGTGGTATGTGAGTACACTGGGATCAGCAATGCAATGTTCAACACCCCAGACGACCATGCCCAGGTGGCTGTGTGGGGTGTTATGTGAGTATGCTGGGATCAGCAATGCACTGTTCAACACCCCAGACGACCATGCCCAGGTGGCTGTGTGGGGTGTTATGTGAGTACACTGGGATCAGCAATGCACTGTTCAACACCCCCAGACGACCATGCCCAGGTGGCTGGGTGGGGTGGTATGTGAGTACACTGGGATCAGGAATGCACTGTTCAACACCCCAGACGACCATACCCAGGTGGCTGTGTGGGGTGTTATGTGAGTACGCTGGGATCAGCAATGCACTGTTCAACACCCCAGACGACCATGCCCAGGTGGCTGTGTGGGGTGTTATGTGAGTACACTGGGATCAGCAATGCACTGTTCAACACCCCCAGACGACCATGCCCAGGTGGCTGGGTGGGGTGGTATGTGAGTACACTGGGATCAGGAATGCACTGTTCAACACCCCAGACGACCATACCCAGGTGGCTGTGTGGGGTGTTATGTGAGTACGCTGGGATCAGCAATGCACTGTTCAACACCCCAGACGACCATGCCCAGGTGGCTGTGTGGGGTGTTATGTGAGTACACTGGGATCAGCAATGCACTGTTCAACACCCCCAGACGACCATGCCCAGGTGGCTGGGTGGGGTGGTATGTGAGTACACTGGGATCAGCAATGCACTGTTAAACACCCCAGACGACCATGCCCAGGTGGCTGTGTGGGGTGTTATGTGAGTATGCTGGGATCAGCAATGCACTGTTCAACACCCCAGACGACCATGCCCAGGTGGCTGTGTGGGGTGTTATGTGAGTACACTGGGATCAGCAATGCACTGTTCAACACCCCCAGACGACCATGCCCAGGTGGCTGGGTGGGGTGGTATGTGAGTACACTGGGATCAGGAATGCACTGTTCAACACCCCAGACGACCATACCTAGGTGGCTGTGTGGGGTGTTATGTGAGTACGCTGGGATCAGCAATGCACTGTTCAACACCCCAGACGACCATGCCCAGGTGGCTGTGTGGGGTGTTATGTGAGTACACTGGGATCAGCAATGCACTGTTCAACACCCCCAGACGACCATGCCCAGGTGGCTGGGTGGGGTGGTATGTGAGTACACTGGGATCAGGAATGCACTGTTCAACACCCCAGACGACCATACCCAGGTGGCTGTGTGGGGTGTTATGTGAGTACGCTGGGATCAGCAATGCACTGTTCAACACCCCAGACGACCATGCCCAGGTGGCTGTGTGGGGTGTTATGTGAGTACACTGGGATCAGCAATGCACTGTTCAACACCCCAGACGACCATGCCCAGGTGGCTGGGTGGGGTGGTATGTGAGTACACTGGGATCAGCAATGCACTGTTCAACACCCCAGACGACCATGCCCAGGTGGCTGTGTGGGGTGTTATGTGAGTATGCTGGGATCAGCAATGCACTGTTCAACACCCCAGACGACCATGCCCAGGTGGCTGTGTGGGGTGTTATGTGAGTACACTGGGATCAGCAATGCACTGTTCAACACCCCCAGACGACCATGCCCAGGTGGCTGGGTGGGGTGGTATGTGAGTACACTGGGATCAGGAATGCACTGTTCAACACCCCAGACGACCATACCCAGGTGGCTGTGTGGGGTGTTATGTGAGTACGCTGGGATCAGCAATGCACTGTTCAACACCCCAGACGACCATGCCCAGGTGGCTGTGTGGGGTGTTATGTGAGTACACTGGGATCAGCAATGCACTGTTCAACACCCCCAGACGACCATGCCCAGGTGGCTGGGTGGGGTGGTATGTGAGTACACTGGGATCAGGAATGCACTGTTCAACACCCCAGACGACCATACCCAGGTGGCTGTGTGAAGTGTTATGTGAGTACGCTGGGATCAGCAATGCACTGTTCAACACCCCAGACGACCATGCCCAGGTGGCTGTGTGGGGTGTTATGTGAGTACACTGGGATCAGCAATGCACTGTTCAACACCCCCAGACGACCATGCCCAGGTGGCTGGGTGGGGTGGTATGTGAGTACACTGGGATCAGCAATGCACTGTTCAACACCCCAGACGACCATGCCCAGGTGGCTGTGTGGGGTGTTATGTGAGTACGCTGGGATCAGCAATGCACTGTTCAACACCCCAGACGACCATGCCCAGGTGGCTGTGTGGGGTGTTTATGGTACAAATTACGTCATTGCGCAATGGGTCCCTTGTGGAGGTTATGTACTCTTTGATAGCAATGAATCATCATACCGGATGCCAGCGGGTACACTGCCAAGGAAGGCAGCTGAGGTGAGCCGTCATGCGTCAAATCCAGCTTGGCTTGGAGCAGCATTCTACAATTTCCAACAAAGAGAAACAGCAAACATGGAATAACTTCGATGGATCAAGGCAAATCCCAGGCTTCATGAGACCATAGTTGATAAATCTGCAGCAGAAAAGTGAGTGGAGGAGAGAGGTTGAAAGAGACAGACTAGAGAATGTTTCAATGGATTTGAGGGGGGGGGGGGGAGCTGAAGGTAAGAGTTCCAGGAAACACAAAAAACTATAATATCCCATGCAAACACGCGGTAGAATTATACATCTGCCCACACAGCATTGAATACTGCAAAGAGCAGAGCTGCCAATGCAGTTACATGAGCATGTACACACCACCATAGGAGGTACACATTGGAAGGCAACTCACCTGGTGTCGGCATTGTTACGTAGTGTGGATCGACGGCAGCAATGATCCAGCATGGCTAGCCAAGGTTGTCCCATGTTATTGGCCGTGCGGAATGTATAGGTGAACTCCCTATGCAACACCATGTAGCCGAGATCCTCGTGTACGGACACCACCTATCAACAAAAGCAGTTACAAACAGTCGCAGATAATGCTAATCAATACACAGAAGACAACGGGCAACTGGAAATGCTCACAAAGTGGTCGACACCCGCGTCTTTGCTGCTCACAAAGTGCTCGATACCTGCGTCTTTGCTGCCCACAAAGTGCTCGATATCCGCTTTCTGCATGCTCAGAAAGTGCTAAATTTTCCCCATTTCTCTCCTCATCAATCCCTACTTCTCTTTGTACATACATCTACATCTACTGTTCTTTCAATCAAATGAACCCCTCGATAGGCACATTGCCTTTGGGTCATTTCATAATAATAATAAAAAATACTTGCAGCGTAGAATCTTCACAGCCTTAGTCAGGTTTCACTGTAATAATTGCAAACCCGGTTACAAGATAACAGGGAGAGAAAAAATCGATGACCACCTAACACAGTACTGAATGTACACTTGTGATGCAACATGACAAACTTGCCGCAAGAAAAACAATATATAAAGCTCACACGTTAGCATTACCACCGGCTCAGGGGCGTAGCGGCCGATCCGGCTTTGTCTGGACCACTTTTTCGCCCAGAAATGCCCAGAATGCAGGATTTTGCACCCTAATTTTCACAAATTTCCCTGGGGACATCCCCAGACCCCCCTCCGACCAGACCTTATCCAACGCCGGTGCTACGCGTCTGCGGCCATACAATTGTGTTGAAGAACACAACCAGCTTAGGAAGTTTCGTGTGTGCCAGGCCACCGCCACGCCTGGTATACCAAGGTGGCAGTGCAGCACCTCACGGCGAGGGTGAGGTGGTAAGTCTCACAAACCTCGTTGTTAGCTGCATCCAAACTCACCGGAAGAGTGACGGGAAACACGTCTGCCGCTCCACCCCCGGTGTTCACGGACAGACGCGTGTCCAGCAGGGTGACGTTTTCACCGACCGTGCGTCTGCGCGACTGCGAAGCCAAGTCCACGGTCATCTCAACCAACAGCGTGGCCGTTGTACGGCTGATCAGCGGCTGACGCCTCCACCAGATTGAACCGTGGATAACGGACTGGTCTGAGCAGCAAGCGCAAATGCACGAAACAGGCATCACGTGAAGAGCTGTAATGCTAAACCCGCTAAATCCATATAATCAGTTTCCGGATAATGGCTCAAAAAGGATTCATGTTACCGAAATTCTCAGAGTGTAAATCGCACTTTAAACACCGGTACTACACCAGTGTGGATTATATTGCGATCGTCAATTTAATGGGTATAAATAGTGTAGAAGATAATTTTCGTGGCAGAATATCTGGTCACTTGTCAGTCTGTTATCTGCTACATACACACAGACTGTCAGTCAGCCAAACAGCAAAACAAACCGACACATACACACACACACACACGCACACACGCACGCACGCACGCACGCACGCACACACACACACACACACACACTGTACTGTACTTGCTCACTGCCAAGACTGGTCACGCGAGTCTCCCCCGAAGAGGGGGAGAGAGATTCAAAAGGATCTTGGAAAGATGACTCAATTGGCTATTGAACCGCCCAACGGCTGACACTCCCTGAAATCCCCGAACTCTGGTTGGACTTGGTAGTGATCCCACTTATGGGCGCGCCACACACACACACACACACACACACACACACACACACACACACACACACAGACAAACAGACACACACACACACACACACACAAACGCACGCACTCATGCACACACACGCACACACACACACACACACACACAAACACACACACACACACGCACGCACGCACACACACACACACACACATACACACACACAGCTATACCATTGTCATTGTCCTCAAACGTCAGCCTGTAATCTGGTACAGTCAGATTGTTGTAGTTGAAGTCACGACTGCTCAGCTCCATGCTGAATTGGGATGAGTACGGCGAAACACGATCAACCTGTAATGACACAGCACAGAAACAAACCAGCCTTCTTCAAAGTTTGTCTCGCAACACTGGGGCGGTGGGCACCCTACTGCCAGTAAGGTATTGGCCGTACAGCGTTGTGTGCCGGGTACCCTACTGTCAGTAAGGTATTGGCCGTACAACGTTGTGTGCCGGGTACCCTGCGAATCAATAAATCACTGATCCGGGGGTTAAAATTTCGAAACATTTCAGAGGAGCCACCCCAACTCTACGAGTAAACTGTACTTCAGGTGGCTGACCGTACCACCATGACCTACCTTCTGATTGCCCTGGAATACAAGGAGAACTGCGCTACACTGGTATGCAGTGGCCAGGCAATGCACTTTTCAAGTTGTAAGTAATTGGAAGTATTCACTTGGCTCAACTAAAACTGATCTGTTGATCCTAAGAGGGTGGTGGCGTTCCTAAGGATGCGGAGAGCTCAGCCTCACTTCTTGATAGATTTTTCTTGTAACCAGACGAGGCCACACGATGCTTGCAGACACCAGCAAAAAACATTCACCAGCCGCACTCCCCCCCCCCCCAACCCTTTCATCTGAATGAAGACGGCATCAACAAACTTTAATTATAATAGAGTGTAACAAGAACTCCAAGGATCAGTCGTGAAGTGAACTGCCTGAAAAGAGAAAAAATGCCAGACGCACCAGGGCTCCAGCCCGGGACCTTGCTTGTCATGAGCAATGCTCTAACCACCCGAGCTTTGGGACCAGGCGGAGCGTAGAAGGCGCTGACAAGTGTTTCACTCCAAAAGCATTTGTTCTCTTTTCAGGCGGTTCACTTCCACGACTCATCCCTCAAATTTGAAGTTCTCCCTATCCTTTCAAAAATTATAACGCGAACCATGAATGTTTTTTTGACCGATCTTACCCTGTCTTCCAGGGCGTTGATGGTGAGACGTTGCGGTACATTCCACTCGGCCGGCCTGAAGATCATGACTGACGGCTCGACGCTCATCAACGTTCCGTTCTCGCTGCGCAGCTGGACGGTGACCGTCTGCGACGGACGACTGCTCAGCACGACGTCGTAGTAGCCTTGGCGTCCCTCGGGTATGTTCGGTGGTGACGGCTCGATGTTGGCACGCGTAATGATCACATTGGCTATGTAGTAGATACACACGTACACGATACAGAAAACCAATGTTGGCACTCGTAACGATAAAATTGGCTATGTGGGATAAAGACACACAATACAGAAACATCCCCCGGGTGAACATGAGGAAGTGCATACATCATTACTATTGTGTCGTAACGAGTGACACGGTATGCATGAGATGCTTCAATGTGTTTAGGTCTGCTAGTCACCCTCAGCAGCACTCCT